GCAGCCAGCGAGGGCTTGGTCGCTGCCACATCACACCCGAGGCTCCTGGCCAGGCCCAGCAGCTCTGGAGGAGGCCGTGAAGGGGGCAGAGCTCCCTGCCCTGCACCTGGGTTTGTGGGGGCTGTGAACAACAATGGCGAGCTGGAGGTGCCCCACTCACCCCCACATAGCTCCATTGTTGCCCCATTGCAGGAGAACAGCATTAGGAGCTCATCTTCCCTCTCTCCCCATGCGCTGCAGGGTAGCTGAAAAGGAGCCTGTCAACAAAATGTCTCTCCACAATCTGGCCACGGTCTTTGGGCCAACACTGCTGAGACCTTCGGAGGGGGAGAGCAAGGGGCACCTCACCCTGGCCTCCGACATCTGGTCCCACGATGTGATGGCCCAGGTAAGAGCTGTTCTGGTTACATGGGGCTGCAGCCTGTACCAGCACCCCCAGGGTGGGAAGCGAAGGGGTTTATCATCTGCTTTGTGTGGGTTTATTGTCACTCTTTGCTGGATGTGTCTGCACAAGGACAAGCTGGGAGGTGGCACCTCTGCCCTTGTTTGGCTTAACACCCCCTGTTTGCCTGCTACAGGTCCAGGTCCTCCTCTACTACCTGCAGCATCCTCCCATCTCCTTCACTGAGCTAAAACGCAACACACTTTACTTCTCCACGGACGTGTAGCCTGCAGGGAGAAGGCACCAGCTGCAAACACTCCCAGCTCCCTGCCGGGGGACACAGACTGGATCGCAGCCCCCCAGGGAGACCGGCCCGGACGCGGGACGGTGCCGCCTGCAGCTCCTGTACAATCGCGTACCAGAGGCCCGGTCCCACCCCAGGCACCGTGCCCCTCTGTAAAGTAGTCGTGTCTTATGTCCCTCCTTGTGTTCAGGAATTGTTTTTATGTATATTTGTTCAACGGAAGAGGTAGTGACTGACAAGGGCTGTGGACGCAGGCTTCCCCCTTCGCTAGTTTTCTCCTGGACTCCTTTCTGCCTGCTCGCTCCTACCAGGCACCCCTCGTCTCGCCCAGCTCGAAGCCTGCAGCATCCCACGAGTGCCTGTTTCGCTGCCTGGCTCCCCTGCCCCACGCCTGCATGTGCAGCATCGACTTGCTTCAGAGGCTGGGAGCTCGCAGGCTTCCCTCCGCCGTGACAGTGACAACCAGCTCTGCTTTGGCTTGCTGCCTGCGCAAACGTTGGACCCCGTGCCTGGATCCTGCTCTGGCCCAAGCAATCCTGCGACCACCACGAGAGCAGAGGAGCAGGGTGCTGCTTCCTCCTCACCACGTCTTTTCTGGGTGCTTTCAGGCCAGTCTTCTCTACAGCCCTTACCCTGTGCTTTGCTTGTGCGGGTGTAGCATGGCGGCTACTTCCTTCGCTGTACCTCGCCTCCAAGTAGCATTTTCGGGTAACCCATCACACAAGGCTGGAGTGAGAGGGGCTGTGCTGGTCTTGATCCACAGCAAGCTTGAGGGACCGCCAGCCAGGCAGGTCTGCTTCCTCCACCATGCACTGACCCCATGTCTGTGCTCTGGTACCAGTGTGTCCCATCAGGGCGCGTGGATCCCACAGTTTCCCCAACAAGCCCTGATGGGGTGGGGAACAGGGTCCCTGCCATATCCATACGCCCATATCTCTGCTGTAGTGAAGCATATGCACCCCTGCAGCCCAGCACTGCCAACACTGGCTGCACCCCGTGGCAGAGCCCACTGGGCCCCAGCGCCCCTGCCATGGCCATGAGAAAGGGGAGGTTTCCTCCCTTGGCTTTCCCTGCTGCCCAGGGCAAATGGCAGCACATGGCCCTGCCTCGGTGCCAGCCAGGCTGCCAGACATTAGTGCTCTGCAGCAGCTGGACAGTCACTCAGCCTGGAATCCAGTGCAGAGGGATGGGAGGAGGAAAGCCTTCACAGCCCTTACTGCTGAAGGCAGAAGTGCTTTGTTTTCTTTCTCATAAAGCAGTTGCTGCTGGGTTAGCTGTGCCCGGCCAACTCAGGTCTGTTTTAGTTAGTGGCTCCAGTTCTTGACCCCTAGGCTGATGGCTGGAGTTGTCACGCCATGTCCCAAGGCAGGATGGCCACGTGCCTGTGCTCACTGCTAGGCTGTGCTCCGGCTGCCCCAGTGCCTGGCTCCCAGTGTGTCCCCCACCCTCCCACATTCCCAGGTAGGTGCTGGGACCTGTTGGGACACAAAACCTTTCGCTCTGTGAGCCGAGTCCGTGTTCTCATGGGAAAAGCCCCCCCCTTCCCTGATTGCGTTGGCCCTGTGCTCTCCTGTGCCAAATGGAGATGGATGAGAAGTGACCAAGCGTATCCCTGCTAACAGTGGCATTGCCTTTACCCTCCTGACTAACAGACTGTTCCAGGTAGAGCCCGGCCGCCTGCCACCGATGCACCAGGTATGTCCTAAGCCCACCTTCCCAGGGAAGGCAGCACCTGCCTGCCCTGCACCAGCAAAGCAATGAAAGGAGGGGAGGTCTTTCAGTCCCCCTCCAAAGGGCTCACACTCCAGACCCTGCTCCTCTTGACTACCAGCTAAACAGAAGGGAAACAGCATTGCAGAAAATAACCAGGCGTCTGTCTTGGCCCTGGACCCAGTAAGGAGGCCGAGTTTTAGATCTGACTGCACAACGGATCCCTGTGTGTGTCTGATTTGTTACATGTGTCCAAGTCTCTGTCCACGATACTGTCATTCCAGATGGAGACTCTGTACAGCCAAATCCCCCCCGTGCGACAGTGGCTGGAGGCCCGGTCCACACAGCCCTGGCACAACAGGCTGCAGCCATCCCTATGACTGGCTTTTGCTTGTCCCTGCAGGAAAGAAAAGAGGGGGTGGACTCTTGCAGCTACAGGTAGAATAGAACTGTTAATTAATATCTGACTTTCAAAAGTTGTTAAGGATATATTTTTGTTTGTGTTTTGTTTCAATTTCTGTAGATTATAAACTTTAAATGGCTGTAAACCATGTGAGGAGAAAAAAAGGTTAATAAAAATGCAAAGCCCCAACATTTGCACAAAAGGAGGCTTGTGGTGTTGCTGTTTGCACTCACTGATCACCTTGACATCACAGCTTCTTCTCTGCCGTGGAAATCCTGCTAGTTGCACTTCAAGCCAGTGGTATATGCACAGGCATCGTGCCAGGCAATCTTTTAAGAGAAATCTTATGGTTTGGGCTACATCCTTGCATTTCAGTACATTCTGGAGGAAATAAACCCTGGACTGTCTGGAGCCAGCCTGTTTAATCAGCCCAGAATTACTCAAGCTTAAAATTCAGCTGACTTGCACAGCTTCTGGCCTGAGGATACTGAATAGGCACATCAAGGGACATAAGGCGATCTGGAAACCTCATCTGATAGATCACATGCTGCTGCCTCCCCACTTCTTTCCATGTGGGAATGGGAGACAATATGCCTTCAAACTGACCACTGACCATCCTATCAGCCAAACTACCCTGCTAGTATTGCTCTTCCAGGTAAGCAAGTGCTGTCACCATTCTGGGATCTCAAACTGTGGATGCAAAGGAGGGGAAGTGGGTGGGAGAACTGTGAAGTGTGTGCACTGAATCTGAAATCCCACTGCCACAAAAAGATGAGGGTGGGTGTTTGCCCTTGCAGAATGGCTCTGTTGAAGGTAAAAAAGACTGAATTATCCTGAGTATATAAATTACCCCCTGAGGTCTGAGAACAGAGCTTGGTTAGAAGAATAAGAGTGCTAATACGAATGCAAATCAAAAAGGGAGCAGCTCTTTGAGCTAATGAACACGTTTTGACTTCAGTACCAATGTTCTGCAGAAATATCACTTCACTTCCCCCAGTGTAATACTCAGGGGCTGTACAGGGTCCTGACAGGAAACAGACTGTGTGTTAAGTGAATGCCCAGTTATCTGTCTAACAGTGGTTTATTCTCACAACTCTGCTTTCCAGTCTTGCTATCAAACTGCTGGAACTAATGGTGTGAGCCCGTGGCAGTTAAAGCAGTAGCAAGATGATTTGTACTCCCACAGTGAGGTTAAATCAGGCTAGCCAAGTGGCTGCAGAGAATTATACTTCTGCAATAACCTTTTTTTTTCCCCCCTTAAACTGTTTTGTTCATCTGCCAGTAACCACACGGTTCTAAGGCTAAGGATATTGCTTTTCCCTTTAAGACATGGTAAAGAAATCTGGCTCTCATCTCTGTACTTGAAATAAGGCAAGCTGTACAGATGGTAGTTTGTCTTCAGGTGGTATTTTAAGAAAAGCCTGGAACAAACTTATTTCTCTACAGGATCTTACCTCTCCCCAACACAGTAGCAAGCTGCAAACTGATAACTGTTCAATACTTGCAGCACATTCAAATACATGGTAAACTAAATCACTGCAATTCTTTATGATGTTTGTCCTCCTGCCTCTTTTGATGCTAGCAACAGACTTAATCAAAATCAGACCCAAAGGATCGAAAAAGCTGGGAGTCCAGGCTTGTTTCCTGGAAACTGACAGTCAGCTGATCCATCCTGGAGATACTGCTCGCTGTGCCTGGCTCCATCCTCACATACTCCTGCAAGTCTGCCTGAAGCAGCATGCCAGGGCTCAGAGCCAGATTATTGTTAGTCATTCAGGAAAAGTGGCCAACACCATCCAGCTTGCACTGATCAGGACTCCGAAGGCAGTGGAAAGGTAAGCCTGATGGTTCTTGTGCTGTGATGCAGGCTCTTAGCAGCAGCACTGGAACAAAAGGGAAAACTTCCTCCCAAGGGATCCCACTGTTACCGTAGATAGTAATCAATTGCAGCAGAGAAAGCAGCAAATCCACCACAGCCGATAACTCCCGCCTTCAAACCAGCTGCAATGTGAAAAGGGTGGAAAAGAATGAGACAAAATAGGAAAGATCTTTTTCTTCTCAGTAACTAGCTTACGCTGGGCTGGCTTGAAGAGCTTACACCTGCAGGAACCCAGCAGTCCGCTACCAGGGAACACTGGCACTCCTACTGCCCAAGGGGATGGGAGGAACCTGGCATACACTGGACCTAAAACTAACACGGCTGGACTAGCACAGCACACTGGCTGGGCACAGTGTTGCTATGTTTGCCCCCAAGGGACAGAAAACACCAGCGGCCACTGCTGATTTCAGTGCGCTCTGATCTGAGCACTGCAAGTGGTTTGCTGTTGGACTAGGGAGGGGTAAGAAGAGCCATTATTGCTTTGAAAGGATTAGATCCAGGACAGACACAACTTAACAAGCTCAATTAGAAGCACTTTCAAGAGGACTTTCTTTTATGCTCTGTGGATAGTCCTTAAGGAGAGGTGAGAGCAGTCTGATCTTCCTGACAAGCAGAGCTGCTCTCTTCCTACTTGGAGATTTTTCCAGACGTTATTAGCACTCAGGGCTTCCCAAAGTCCCCGCTAATGCCTGCTGCACTAAAATCCCAGTGCTCCTGCTCTTTTACAGCTAGAAAGAGTTGATTGTTTGAATTGATACATGAGAAAGGAGGAAAGCATTTTCCTCTCTGCAAATTAACAGAGTTACTGCCAGCGAAATATATATACAAGCAGAGCTTTGTATATTCAAGAGCTATAGCTTCAGAGAGTTGCTCAGCATGTATTTTTGGCTCCCTCCCCTCCCTCCCATCCACACAGAAGAGTGTGGATAGCTAACACCACTTCCTGCTTTTTCTTTCAAGTCACTTCTGTTGATTTTCCTTCAATCTCACTGTCCTGTATGACCAAACCTTCCCTACCCACACATCTTTCAAGCTGACGGGAAAGTGATAGAGCAGTTCTGTCAGTCTGGAGTAAACTCTCACACTGACATCACCATAACCCCATGCAAAGAAATTTGTAGTCTGTGTTCTGTTTAAAAATATCACCTGCTGCATAACCAAATCAGAGTCTTATCACAGAAAC